TTTATAAGGGGGTTGATATGTATGTATGTGTGTGTAGGTATGTATGTGTGTGCGTGTGTGTGTGTGTGTGTGTGTGTGTGTGTGTGTGTGTGTGTGTGTGTGTGTGTGTGTGTGTGTGTGTGTGTGTGTGTGTGTGTGTGTGTGTATGTGCGTGTGTGTGTGTGTGTGTGAGTGTGCAGCTGTCGTATGTCCCGGAAAGGATCCCGCTCTCCCGTCTCAGCAATCCGTATGCGTGCCGGGTGCTTTCCTCCATCTGCCGATTTCTCGCGTATTATTTGACGGACCAAACAGACGAGATTGTGCAGGTGCGAAGCTTTTGTACCTTGATTCCAACGTCTGGCTCGGGCGCTCTTTGTCGAAGTCGTAATTCTGCGCACTACGGAGTTAGGGCCGCCTTAGGGCCCCCTCTGTCCATAAACTTGGTAGCACGTGTTTTGGGGTGTCTCTACTGGCGGCTGCGGTGTACGACTGGTTCCGCGTAGGGTGTTGCGGAGGCCCTTTTTGCCGCGCATCGGGAGAAGGCGATTCTTGACGTCCTGGAGGTCAAGGACGAGGAGGTCCTTGTTTCCGCTGTGGAGTGCTTGAACAGCATTCCTTTGCGGTTCCTCACGAAGGAGACCGTTGCCCTCCTCTTAAATTTGCTGCGCAGGCTGGCATACCCCCACATAGGTCAGCTGTGTTGACGGGCTGATGCGGCACGCCTCAGTTCTGAGTTCTCCGATGATCGTGCTGCAGCCAGCGGCATGCCCAATAAAAGGGAGGCGCTAGGGAAGAATAGGAGGCTCTAGAAAGGGGGCTAGCATGTAATGCTGCCACAAAGAGCACACACAACAGAACTGAGGTTGCAGCGATCGCAGTAACGTTTCTACCTGGCAATCGTTAGTCCCCTAGTCTGACAGTTTGGCTTGTGCTGTCAATCAACTGCTGTGTGCGGGATGGACACAGGGCTAAATTCGCTGGTGCTGCAAACGGTAGTGCTCCTGCTCACGTCCTTGGCCTCTTGGGATTCTCCTCAGGCTGTCCCAGTGTTGTGGGAGGAACACGCGACAGAGGCACTCAGATGTGTCATGCAGGTCATTTACAGAAATCATTCGACTGCCAGATGGCCTGCCAGGTACGCCTAGGACTATATGACAATTATCGCTGCTTGTTTGGCGCACCTCGGGTAGCAAGGCATGGGGTTGCCTTTCCTGGATCTCTCTCTACGCTCTGCACATCCCCTGCTCCATGGACAGACACATGCTGAGCAGCCTTCGCATGGGGCAAGGCGAGATCAGGACCACTGCGCAGAGTGCTGCCTCCGATAGAGCGGCTCAACGCTATAAGCCGATCAGCTGCAGCGATGGGCTGTGGCAGGCCTTTAGAGGGTGCTGCGGACTTGAGGGAACAATGCACACTGTCTCTTAGCCTTTTCTCGCCCACACAGGCTCCTTCCTAGCACGCCACTTACAGAGGCCTCGCCAGGTACCTGCAGAGGCAGGCGCTTAGAGTGGGGCTGAAAAGAAACGCGGCACGTATGCAGGGAAGGAGGCGGGGGGGTGTCTGATGCAGGAAATCGACCATAGAGAACATGCATGCCCTCAATAAGGCCTGCGTGGACTTCCTGCTCGCTGCCTCCCGTGTGGAAGATGTTAGAGACATCATGAGGTCCGCATACGACATTGAGTTTCCTTGTTGAGTTTTTTTCTTTCTCTCCTTCTTTCTCCCCCTTTTGCACAGTATGCAACATTTGGATCCATGCAAACGGATGCATGCATATGTCTCTAGACCATTTGTATGCACCTGGGTGGTTGTATTACCTGTAAATCGATCCGTGATGCTCATGTATGCGACAATGCCCTCAGCTGCGGTCAACATTATCTTCATGACTTTCTTGCTACAAGTGAATCCTGCGAGGTTCCTGTGTGTTGGTGGTGGCTGAAGCTGCGGTTGCCTACTCTTGCAGCTCACGTCTGTTGCTGTGATGGTGCAGAACTAAGCCCGTGGTGTCTCTTTTTGGGCCTGCTCTTGGAACAGAGGAGCGCCTCAGCTGCCACCCTGACGGCTTCGACGTTGTCGTCGAGAGAACCTGGACGGGGAGAGACGTTCCGATTCTTGTGTCGTGTCTCTCCGGCCTGAACAAGCTCAACGCGAAGAAAAAGGTGGCCTTCCGGGTTGTTTGCAGACTCGCAGACATCATAGAGGGGTGGCCAGATCTCCCAGATGCCGGCAAGGACCTCGGACTAAGGGTACATTGGCAGCATGTCTGAGAACAGAGAGTCGCCGCAGTGCAGGGGGCTTATGTACGCACACGCGCATCCATGTGCATTGCATGCACAGGAGCGCAGCTCTTTCATAATACTGGGGCCAAACTCTAGGCGTATTCCTGAGGCAGGGCTGTGCGTTGAGATGGAGAGTAGAAGTGCACTTGGGAAAACCCTGTTTTGCCCCCTAATGAACGTGGTGACGAGGCGCTTAAACGGAATCACGGAGAGAGAATTAGAGAGCTGCTGTCCACCTCTTACCACAGGCGCTGTGCACCCGCGAGTCGGAGATGTGGGATGATGCAGAAGCCAGCCGCCGCATGCTGGACCTTGATGAGCGCGAAGAGTCCGAGAGGGCCCCTCAGCAGACAGTAAGGCCATGTTGCTTTGTTGCCCGGTTGCTCTTGCTGCTGTCCTTTTCTTCGAAGCAGCCAACCCCCCGTGACGCTATTACCTGCACCGTCCTGTTTGCTACTTAGCGCTTTCCCCTAAAGCCGAATTCTCACGGGATAGCGGCAGCAGAGGGGCATCATCAGCCTCTTAATGCTACAGTCCGCCATCGCATAACCCGAGCCTCCCGCTTTCACTGCAGTACTGCCAGTTGCCAGGCCTTGTCACGCTGTAGATCTGCCGTGGGACACCTTAAGGCAGCGGCTATTCTTTCATAATTAAGGCGTTAATGGAGGAACATATGGCCGGGCGGTGTTGCGTACAGGATTTTGTCCGCTTGTGCATAGCGGAACGTTTGTCGCTGCTGCTCGCTCCCCTTTGCAGCCGCAGCACGACGCAAAGGCACTCGTGAGTTTTTTCTTGATCTTTTTCTTGCACTGTCCATTGCTGACCGACGCAGTGGCGCTCGCGTTGCGCAGCGTTGCGGCTGTTCGCGTCCGCTGCTGTGTTTTTACTCGGGGAGAGCAATGCAACGCTCTGGCAATGGAAGCTATGCTTTAGCAAGGATATGGCTAGCTCCCAGCAGAAAGCGGGGTGCGTGCGCGGCTATGCACGGGCGTGAGGCCCCGAAACACTAGGCCGGTTGGTTGGCATGTGCGGGTTTTTTCCGGTGTGTGGTTAAAGGAGACAGAGGGCTCTTAAGGAAAACGCGGAGTATTGGGCAGGGCGACTAAAAGCGGATATTGAGGATGCAGAGGCCGAAATCGCCAAGGCAAGTAGGGGAGGGGGCTTTCTCTAGCGTTTTCGGGAGGGACCTTATTTGGACGTGGGGGGGATGAAGTGTTGCTTTTTCTCCTTGGTGTTCCCCCGTCTGGCCTCGCTGAGGCTTTTCTTTCGCCTCTGCATCGCTGCTGAGGCTGTGCTGGAGGGTGCATCTGCATGGAGGCCGTCGACGGCGTGCAGAAGGCTGCCTGCCTGCCTGACTCGGTGTCTCCTGAAACGCTTTTCCACAGGCAGAAGAAGAGGCCGCTGAGGAGGCGGATGTGGAAGAACTTGCAGTGCTGCACCAACCACAGAAGAGGAGCGAGCTGGTGAAGTCTATTACTCAGGCAAAGCCAAAGAGCTGGAGGGAAAAGTTGAAAAACCGAAACAAAGCCCAGCAGGAAAGCGCCCCAGGTAAGCTGTACATTTTCAAGTTGGGGCTTACGGTTTAGGTTCTGGTGAGGGGCATTTCGAGTTGCGCCAACCTGGACGTTGCAGTCAAAACGAATTTTCCTGTATGTTCTGCAGCCAAGAAACCGTCCTCCAAGCAGTCCAAGTCCCCTACTGCTGACCTCGAAGAGGATCCAGCCTATGCCGATCTTTACGGAACTGAAAGCAACGTGCCCTCGGTGCTTCCCAGCAGCGCACTGCCGCTTGCCGTCTTCCCCTGCTTACCGGAGGCGCAGCCTCTGCAGGCACAGCTCTCCTGACAGCAGCAAGGGGCTGCAGGCTGCGTAGCTTTTATTGTAGCTGCCCTTGCATGCGCATGGAAGCGTGTGCGCTCGGAATAGACGTGCAGCCTTTTGGTTGCATGTGCATCTGTGCATGCGTTCGGTCCCGGAACGTGTCCGCAGGGCCGGCAAGGACTTTTAGAAAAACTGATGGAAACAGACTTCGAGCTCGGTATGGCTTCACACGGACACGTCCAGTGTGCCTTAAGAAGTTGTGGCCGCTTGGTGGGGATTGTATTTCGTTGCTATTGCGTGCATGCAGCTGCGTTTGCGGACTGTGGGGTGCTGTTTCGAAGACGAGGAACTTGCGGCAATGTATCTGAATAACACCGTGGATCTGTACGGCAGCCAAGGGGTAAGTGGGCGTCAGAGGCAGAGGTAGAAAGACACTTGTAGAGCATCTGATGGCACGCACGTTGCTTGCATTGCCTTTTGCCTCCAGCAGACGCTATACATAGGGGGTGGCGCACAGACGGAACGAGAAGCGTTTATAGATAATTTGTCCACGAAAAAACCGTTATGTACATCTCGTGCACGCAACCGAGGTGCTTGCTGCCGCGGCTGTTGGCATGCCTTTTTATTGTCGCACTTTGTCTGTACCGAAAGGAGTTCGGACGTTCACCGCTCTTTTATGGAGTGCTTTTTCATTTTCTCATCTGTTTGTGTTTGTGTGGCTTTACTCAGCTGTGGTTAAACTTCCATGCTGCTGAGCTGCAGCCGGCCTACATCATCGCTGCCACCCTCAGGTAAGGAGCGGGGAACGGCTAGCTCCAACCCCTGTACGTATTGCAGAGGCTCCCTCCAGTCTCGTGCAGAGGCGGCATTGTCTTTGCAGTGGAGCTGTGTGTGTATAAAAGACAACAGGGCTGTAGAAGCGCCTGGTAGCCTTACTAGCGTGGGCTTAGCAGGCGGGGAATGAGAACAGGGGATTATTGCTGCGGCGAGCAAATGCCATTATACGTGTGGCGGGCCGCGTGTGCGCTCCCACGCAAGAGGCATAGCTATCCACTACTACAATGTGGTTTCAAACAACGAGAAACTGCTTAGAAGGCGCAGGAAGACTCTCATCATGTACCAATGATGTTGGGACGCCGTGCTTGAGTAAACACTAGGAGCTATTATTCGATTCGCATGCCTTTTTGTGTGTCCCTGTCACAGGCTGCTATATGCGGCAATCGCATATCCGGTCATTGCTGTTGCGAGAAGTGATACTTTGCGCGTATGCCGACGCATCATCTTTCTTCGCACTCTAACTTCGTTGGTGGGTAATGGGACGAACTCTTTATCTTTGAGGCCTAGACTTTTGCCTTCTCCGCCTTGTGCAACTTGATCCGAATACGTCTTCTTGCCGCCCCGCCAACGCGTCTGCTGCGGCGTCACTCGCTTCTAATTGCAGAGGACCTGGAGGCCTCGTGTCCTTCCAAGGGCACCTCCCTGCAAATCCGATGCACGCAAGCGAGAGGCCAGGGGTCTGCGCTTGCAACGAGAGGGAGAAGAACTGCTGCATCCGCTCCTGAGTGCCGCACACTACGGTACTCTTAGATAGGGCCCAATAAAGGAGCTGCCGAGCTCCTTGCTGCTTCTGCTGCTTTTTCGCTGTATGTACACAGGTCGAAGCTGTGCCCTTTGCTGCAGCAAATGTTGGCGCAAAATTCTGCAGACTTATGCAGCGCGTCCTCCAGATTGAGCCCCACCAACCGGTACGATTTGAACCCCGCAAGTCCGCGGCGTTGGATGGGAGTTGTGTGTGAAGTGCCCTTGCGCGCGCGGATGCATCGGGATGAGGCCTGACCCTCGGTGTGCGTGTATCGCGTTGTTCGTAACTCAGGCGGAGTCCATGGATCTTATTCTGAACTACGATATTGTCGGAGAGTAAATGAGGATGACAGACCCTGCATCATACTCCAGAACCCTGTCTAACCCCTGGCGATACCCTCCTAAATCTTCATAGCCGCGAACCTCGGAGTCGAAGAGGGGGTATTGAGGCGTGGGAAGTTATTCGCGTCGGGCACGCAAGTGAGCGCCGATACATAAGGGCCTCTTATTGGGTTACGCTTGTCCCACAAGGTTCTTGTGCGCAGATGCACTCGGCAGATGATGGTGCCCCTACGCCACCTCGTCAGGCAAGCATCAACAAGACCGCTGGATCTTAAGGAGCAGGTATTTAGCATTGCTGCGCCAGTGGCTCGTGAAGACGTAGATCTGCATGAGCATGCGTAGTTGCAACCTCTCGTCGATCCTTGTTAGCCGACCCTTGTTAGCCGATCCTTGTTAACAGCGCCTGCATGTGGTGGAGTGCCGGAGGGAACGGAATGGGGTGTGTCGCTCCCATTTTGGATGGGTTAACTGCATTGTCCATGCTATACGGGGGTCTTTTACGGGATTCAGCCCGTTTGTGTTGCTCTGCACGCACTCTCTCATACAGGCGCTTTGGTATCCGTGTATGCACCCCGTTTTGCTTTACGCGCCGCGTTCGCTCCCCCTTCCCTGGCAGCCTTTTAGTTGTCCTTTCGATTTCGACGTCTTCTTAACTCGCTTTTGTGCGTTTGTAGATCCTCTGCATGGAGCTCGCTGGACTGTACGCAACTCTTGCTCGCCAAATTCCGTACATCAAGTTTTCTGAGGAGAGGGATGTGCAGGTGGGGTCGGGTGTTGGGGCTAGGGCGCCTCCGTAGATGGAAATTGCTACCAGTGTAGGCTGTTTCCAGAATGCATATATGTATATATATATATGTTTTCATAGGCCTTGGTTCTTTTACAAATTTTGAGGTGCAGAACTCCGCTTTTGAGCGTTGTGCGGCCATTGTTTGCGAATGTATGGTTAGAGACATTATAGAGTCGATGGCGATTATACATATATATATATATATGCACGTGTAAATGTAGTCTAGCAGAGTTGATTGCGGTGGTCGTGTTGCATGTGTTTCAGGATTGGGCTGTAGAGAAGACATACGAAAGGCTCTTTCCCGTAACTACAATCCAGCTCTTCGTATCGATGCTTATCATGGATCTGGCGATTGACGCTGGCAGCTCTCAGTACGTTCTTTGCGTGGCGAGCATGCTGGCCCCGGAGATGCCCGTGCATGAATGCATGCGGCGGGCTTTCAAAGTAGAAGTATTGGAGGCTGCCAGCATATACACCGACATACACATGCGTACATGTTATTCTACCTAGGGGCTAGGAATCGCGGCTGGGGAAGCGCGGAGTAATACAGGGCAGTGGGGTAATCGTTTGGGGGGAACCCAAGGCAGGTAAATGGTAAAACAGAAGAGAAGCAAGAGGTAGTTGGAAGTCGAAGTGCACACAGGGGCCTGTAAAGGAATTGGCTTTGAGGCAGTCAGGATGGCAGGCAACAGGGCAGGTCCTCCTTCTGAGACGCACCCTACTGAATGCGCTGTTGGTTTTAAATGCCACTTCTCTCCCTAGAAGCCTTGGAGCTGCTGGTCATCCGTGCTTTGGCTCTCTGCAGTGGCACTTACGTTTCGCATTTGATGGCCAGACTCGGTCTTCAACGCGAAAGTAAGCATTTTCCAGCTATCTATTTGGCCTTTTTGGCTTGGGGAAGGGGAAGAGGCGTGGGTGCTGTGGAGGTTCTTGCGTTTGGATTTCTATGGAGAGGCGCTTCAGGGAGGCCCTCTCTAAGGCTGTTTGTTGGATGGCCCTATTTCGCTACTCCTTCTGTCACGCAGTTTTTGGGGAATTCCCCGGCGAATATGTTTAATGTGCAGGGATGCGCGTCGACTGCATATCGATTATTTCGGCCTTGATGCAGCATTGTCCTCAAGGCCTCAGCTATGACGCTATCGAGGCACTGCATTATGTGAAATCAACACAATGCCTTGATCGTTAAGGTTGTTTGTAGGGCCAAAAGGAGCTCCAAAAGAGGATTTCATGACGGCTAAATGGGGCATTTAGGGAACTCTTTGAGGAGGGGTCCTTTTTTTTCGGCACGCGCTTGCTACATACCGACGCCTTCGTCCTGTAGCAGCTTGTTTCGACACCTTTTTCAAACTTGTTCACTACGGTGTGCAGGCCCGCGTGTTCCTGCACTACCCAATTCGCCCCTCCGTGATGTACGAGCTGATGGACTTGACGAACATTCACTACTTCAAACGGACCCTAGTGAGGCTCGTGTTTAGCTGTATCTTTTGCATGGAGGGCCTTCATGTGTAGCTCCAAGGGTTGAGCGCTGGTTATGTACGGCGGTGTGGTCTGCGATTTAAGGAACTGCTACTCTCCTCACACTCTCGAACCGCAGAGCGCATTCTGCAGCTTGCCCCGGTACTCTGGTGGAATGCCCTGGAGCACCAAGACGGTAAAAGACGAGGATTCGCTGACCAAGAACTTTGGCCCTTCCTTGCATTCCCCCCACCTCTCCAGCCAGTGCGCGCGTCGTGCTACATAGAGTCGCAGATACTATGGTTTCGTCTCTGGCGCATGTTCTTGTGCTGCAGAGGAGCCGGTCCGACAGATGGCAGTCGCTACAAACTGCCGTTTTTACATTATCGAAAGGCCTCGCGGCTTGTGAGTCGCTCTTCGATTGTTGGGGAGGGGGTGGAGGGGGGGAAGGGGGATTTGGGATGTATGGTTCGTTGCTTTGTAGATACACCGGCTCCAAATGAGTTTTGGCAGGAGTGCTGAAAGCTCTGCGATATTCTTTAGCTCTTGTGCGATTCGGGGTTCAAAACGCACAGGCGTGAGCCGTTACAACCCGAAGTGGAATATGCATATCGACGTGGAAGTGGTATTCGGATCATCGTGATGCGCGAATACAGCAGAATGACGCGCATTGTGAAGGGGTTCCCTAGCGACGAGTGGTTGGCGGTTGGGTGGATCCATAAGGTATGTCTTGGGGCATGTGTGTGTGTGTGTGTGTTTGAAATTCTTTAAATGATTTTCTTGCGAGTTTTTGTCCACTGTAAATGCGCGTATCCGCCTTTTGTGGGATCCTCTCCCTTTGCCGTCGTCGTCTGTAATGGCAGTTGACCCCCCTCACTGGATGCTGAGAAAGGGCTGGAGGCCCCTCCTAATGAGAGCAAGTATATTATGGGCTTTTAAAGTTTCCTGCATGTATTTGGTTTGTGGTGCAGGATTCGGACGAAGAGGTTGGGCAGGAGCTCTTCGACTGCCTCATTACGGAAGTGCTGCATCAGGCGGACGATTTAATAAGCTGCCTGAGAGCTTGCTCAGGTATTTTTGGAATAATTGATTCGAGTTTGTACAAAAGGCATTACAGGCCTCTTTTGAGAGGCTATGACGAAGTCCATGTGCTCCGTGGCTTGGACTTCAGGACAATTCGAAGACGAAAGGGTGGATGTGCTGCGTGACGTGGTGTCTGCCGAGTGCCTCATGCAGCACCTCAAGCTCCACGTAGTCTGCAATCCCGTTCTTGCCATCAGTCGCACAGTGGGCCTTGGCTCCCACACACTTCCCTATCGCCCTTGCACCTCTACTTTTCCTCTCTGCGTGCACTTATTATAATTGCTTGCCGTGGAAATCGCGTGTGCAGTGGTCCTTTGCACCCGCCGCCATCGCCGCATTACTCTTTCTCTTTTTGCCTGCTTCTTCCTTAGACATCAAGCAACTCCGCCCCAGTGGATCGGCTGGGCTTGTACGTTTTGACTGGCATGTGTAAGCTTTTCGCTCTCCAGATAGGTGTTTACTGTGCATCCGCATGTGTCTCTCTCTTGACTCTCCGCTCCGACGGGGTTCTCCCTGTAGCACAGGGACCTCTGAGGAGCATTCCATCCGCAGCGGGAGAAACCTGTTTAGCCCGGAGGCCAAGGCTTGTGGCATGCCTTTCAGATCTGCATGAATTTTTTATCGACTGGAAGTACTGGTTTGCCTTCGACCCCACCAGCACAGGTCAGTCATTTTTTCTGGCTGGCCGCTGCGTTCCTGGCCTTTTTTTCTCTCTGCAGCATCTTTGTTTGCACGCTGTTGTGGCGTCCGCCGCGCGGCTGTTACAGCCCTGTGGCTCGTGCAATCACAGCATCACACCTGCCGTTTCTTTCTGCAGTTGCTGCTGGCGGTGTCTTCCGCAAGCCCTGGCTGCTGCCGTGCACACCTAGCGGTAGCTGCTGCTATTTTGGCCTCGTGTGTGGTTTGGAGGGCCTGCTGCTGCATAACGATCCCTCCCATGCATGCATCTAGGCGTAGATTTGCACGCATGCGTGTCTATGTGTGTGCGCCAAAGAGGAGAAGTGGGGTGTCCAGCTGCTGTGCTTGGACTTGGAGGCGGATGCGATGGAGTGGCAGGGGCCCCGAGGAGGCCTAGGGAACTTCTTGGGCTGGATAGATCCGGATATCCAGCGTCTGGAGTCAGTCGACGCCCAGAGAGAAAGGGAAGAAGCGATTGAACAGGTGAGACTTGGACTTTGTGGAGTGCACCGAGAGGGCGATGGCGTGTCTGTCAGTGCGTCTGTCCGTGCGTGTGTTGCTGCTGAGGCTTTTTCACGCTTTTTTGCTCAAGGCTTGCTGAGTGCGAGGATCAGTATTGTGGGTTCTCTCATATCCTTCGTTAACCCTGCGCGCCTTTTCCTGTCTTTTCGTGCACCACTTTCCTGAGGCAAATATGCTATGTCTTCCTCTTGCTATGCAGTTGTCTTCCCTGCCCGTTGCGTTGGTATGCGCATGCTCACTGTCGTGTGCCTGTTTCCTATATATATATATATATATGTATGCGGTCATTTCTGACGCGTCGATCACGCGCTAGGCAACTGTTTACAGCTTTGTGCTTTTGTCAGGGTGCTGTCTGTGTTTCCCCTACACACGGGGGTCCTCCAGGGAGGCCCTGCGTGGCTCCGGCAGATCTTCGGTACGGAGGCTGGACGCACTCAGCGCCGGCTCGATGCGGCGAAAGAGCATCTTCTCACTCCAGGCATTAAATACAAGCTAGATGGCATTAGACAGGTATGCAACTCTGCTGCAGCTTGGTGACAGAGGTAGCCTGACGGACGTGTAGGCAGCAGCAGTGAGTAGGCCACCCCCAGGACCTGGCATATACCCGAAACTCACTGTACTACAGCAGGCTTGTCGCCTTCCTTTCTTTTGGGGCTAATTTGTCAAGGGTTCTTCGCTCAGCTATGCACATATGCTGTGAGGCTCTCTGAGCGATCTGTGGCTAGCTGGGGACGGCTCGCTTGCTTTACATCACCCTAGGGGGACCCTCAAGAAGTTTTCTTGATGCCGCCTCTAGTGACGCCTGCCGCTGTATGCGATACGCGGGCTATTTCATGCTTTGCGGGGGGCGGCTGCCTGTAGATCGAATTCGGCGGGGGGGAGGCGTGCTGGGTCGAGCTGACTTGGCGAATTCCAAAGGCGTCCAAGGGAGAGCAAGCTCCAAAAAAGTCCGCCGCTCCTACCCTCAAGCTGCTGCTCCTAGATGACACCAGCAGAGAACGATTCAGGAGGGCTCTCGCCGCTGGACTGAACCGCACGGAAGAAAGCATGTGGGATACAAAGCCAGAAAAAGCAACACCGCTAGACAGGGCGGCAAGCAGTGTACACATATTTATATGAAGTCGTATAGCAATAAGATACGTAGAGAGATAGGTCCATGTTTGCAGGTGTGGAAACAACAGAACACGAAGGAAGGGAGGAATGGGAGGCACTGCATACACACACACGCACACACACACGCACACACACACACACACACACACACATACACACACACATACACAGCAGTGGAAAGGCATATTAGGGGTCGCTGGCGTGAACTGCAGGCAACACAAAGATATGGAAATTTGTTGATGTGACTGTTCGTTCGCAGTGTGGGTGGCGGGCATGTATGCATATATATATATATATATATATATATATATATATATATATATATATATATATACGTTTGCGTTTGGACTGTTGAAATGATGCAAATTGCTGTGGAGCCAGAAAATTTGTCATCGTCATTTATTATTGGATGCTTCGGTGTGTGCCTCTTTAGGAGTTGGAGACGCATATGGAAGTCTACCAGTTAGATGGCGGAAGTGGCAGGAGCCTTTGTGCGATCATGACGCCCTTGACGTCGGGGTGGGGGCATGCAGGTTCTCGGTGTACAGTATGGCACATACACCCCAATGTGCCACATAGTGTATTCTCCTTTTCGACTCACCCACTATACCGCTAGAGTCTAACGCAGTGAACACTTTTCTTTATGGGTTTAATGGCCATTGAGTGTAATTAAGGACGGGCAACATAGAAGAGAAAGATTCATGAGAGTATCAGGCCGCCGTGGCACCGGGGTCACTACTGTGCTTGCGCAGTGCATCAACGCATGTCTCGCACAGCAAAGGATGCGCTGCATGCCTTTTAATTGCGTTATTGGCGGAGTGTGTCAGCCATAGTCACGTCTCTCCAAGCAACAACAGCAGCGAAACCTGGAGACACTGCAGTTGCTTGTGCAGGATCCGCTAGCGCGAGTCCTTTACAGCTAGCCACGGCCGCGGTTATTTGGCAGGTGCAGGCACGACCCATTATTAGCCGCAGCAACTAGGGATAGAAGCGTCTAGAGATGGCCTTAGCTCTCCGCTCCCTAAGGTTAGGGGGAGGAAGATCCACAAAGAAGGATTCATCCATTGCCCTGGCTCGAGGCGCCTCTGCCTTAGGCGCCTCTTCGGTGGTGGGCCCCCCATAGAAGATCTGGGGGATCAAAAGGCGTCCTGATGCGTCCGTAAGGCCCATTTTGAGTGCATGCTGCAGCAAAGGGAGCCGCATAAACAGACAGACACACAGGGTCCAAAAGCAAGAGTGCATGCAGCCCGCAAAACCACAGAAAAAATTCCATCGAGTTCGACCGGATAGACCGGCCTACCAGCTTCAGACACATCCACAAGCGCATTCTCTTATTGACCCCCTCGTCTGTGCAAGTGCAAAGAAATATTGGGGATGGCTGTGCATGTGGAGGGTCGTTGGCTCGTGAATAGCAAGGTCCAAAGTGTTAGCGACTCGTCCTCACATTCCACAACAGACGTCTCTGTCTACGCGTCTCCTCCATCTGTGTCCAAATGTATTTCTGCCGCTCAAGGCCCACGGGCTTTGCTGGACGCAGCTCTCCTGGCCTGCGAAAAGTCGAACCATCAAAAAAATGTCCGTTTAAACTCGCGCTGCACTTCCAAACCCTCTGAGGAGGCGAATAGCGTGCCAAGAAGAAGGCCCTTCGAAGCAGTTGAACCTGGAAACCACCCAGTTTTAGGATGCAATTAGGCCTGCCTGGCCCTTGAAGAGAGGTCACGATGTTTCCTGGATATGGAAACGCTTGAATCACGGAAAAGAGAGAAACAGGGGGAATGAGGGACCGCACCTATCAACAAATTCAATGTAGGCCATCGGCGCTGCATCTCGCATTCTCAAACGAAACTGATTCACAACTCGAGTGAAGAAGAAATTTCGATGTCTGTACGTCCCAAGCAGTTCCTCGAACAAGCGCCTGCGGGCTGCCGGCGTCCGCAGAATCGACTCTACGGCCAGCGCCTTCTCGGGGCCTAACATATCATACATATACATACATGTGCATGCGTTTGTGCATACATAAATACACATGCGTACATAGGTATACGCATATATACATATATGTATACACATATACACCTCGCAACACTTGGCGTGAGTCTTAAAAAGCAGCAAAAGGGTGTGTATAACCCAGTAGGAAAAAGATCCAAGAACAGCGCGATTTCATATCTCCCTGGCGGATGCAGGCTATCATTCAGCAGCTTTTTGACACATTTACCGCCTTCTGACCGAGAGGCAGCTGGGTGTAGCGCGATCCCTACGCGCGTCTAGGGGGGGTTTACGCTACGGTGTTTGGGAGGACTTGCCCCTTTTTGCAAGGTGTATCAGCTCCTCTGCATATGGCTGAAGCTCCTTGGCACGTGCAATCGTTGTCTCGATGCGTCCGTATCGCAGCAACTGATCCAGCTGGTTTCTGTGCAGGCAGCACGAGCACAAGGAGGCAAGCGACAACGCGCGCTAAAAATAGGTTGGGTCGAAGAAGCTTGTCGAAGGAAAAACCCCTTCTTCCCTTACAAACAAACCGCCTGTCCTTGCACTGAAAAAGAAGGCTCATGCTTGAGCCCTGAGAGGATGTACAGCTTTTAATTACACCATGCAGCAACCCGAACTGTGAACCCGCTTGTACCTGATGGCATCCCAACGGTGCGGAGGCTGTTTCTTCACACGCCTCCAGGTCCTCCTTTTGATGCCAAGATTGAGCAGCTTAAAGGTGCTCGTAAACCCCATCTTAGTCCAGTGTCAGCGGTGCTCTTGCCGATGATGGTGGGGTGATGGGTGCTCTTGCAGCTGCCCCTGTTGCAGGGGGTCGCTGGCCTCTTTCCCGCGGCTCGCGCTCTTCTCTAGATATTGGCGTGTTGGAGGCGTGCTGCTGTAGAAGATCTTCTCGCGGCACACGAAGCATTTCGCACCGAAAAGGCCGGGGAGAGGGAGGGAAGCCCTAGCCGCAAGGGTGCCTAATTTCGCGCATGATTCATGACCTAACACGCGCCGTGGCACCCTCTTCTTCTCCTTATTTACGTTTTCAAGAGAATGAGGATCTAAAAATCTGGCTGCTTAGGGATCTGGCCAGCAGCCGGGTTAACGGCAGGGGTTTTGTACGGTACCCTTGCAGGGGCCTCCTGCCACGTTCCGGGGCCCCCCAGTGCGAGCGCGGGAGAAAACGGGAACCAAGAATGCTCGGTATCCCTACGAATTTGAATACTTCATGCATTTCAGTTCAACAGCGCACTTCAGCCGAGGCTGCACAGGCTCGCCACGACATTGTACAGCACACGAGGCGTATTGCGTTCAGGGCTTCATGGGGAGTTACGCCTTTTAATAAGGCCGACTTCTTGGATGCCGTCTTTGGTGCTAACCGTTCCTCCTGTACACCATACACCAAGCGCCTACCGAAGGCTTAGGCTTTATGGCCCTTAACCCACTCTTCGCAGTGCAGGATTGAGGCTTCCGCGTCGAGGGCTCGAGGCATCGTGGCGTTTGCCGTGCCTTCATCGGTTGCCACGATGAAGCCCCTGAACGCCTCTCAGCCGCTTTCTATGAAAGCTGGCAGTCTCAGCTTTTTAAGCGCCTTCGCACACTGCCGCATGAGCAATAAGCCCGCTCTGTGGGCGGCCGTCCGCAACGAATGCCTAATTTTAAAAGCCAACAGCGACTACATTCTGGCGAGGTGTACGTGCCTTAGTGGCCAAAGTAGCCACCTCCACCACACATGCTGGGGCTGTTGCAGCAACGGCCTCAAGGCGGCCGAACGTCGCTTCCACAGCACGCCTTCCAAGCAGTCTCCGACAGCACCAGGAGCAGCAGCAGAAGCAGCAGCGGTGTCACCACCATCGGCATCTGACACGTGCACATCCGAGGGGCCTCCAGTTAGTGACCGTCCCGCAATGCCAGCTAGGGGATGGCTGCTCCTGTGTTGCGGCGCTTCGCTCTTCTTCGGAGGTGTAGGCAGCACCCTGTGGCTGCTCCTTGACCATCCAGAGCCCCTCAGCCATGCCTGGGATGCGGTAAAGTAAGTCTCCGTTGAATCCGCGTGCTCGAGTGTTTGCTGCTCGGGGATTCCTGCACGCTTTCGACTTTTTTGCAGCCAAGCAGCCCCTGCAATGTGTAAGCCTTAGGACGATGAGATTCAGGTTTTTGCAGGAAGGACCCGCGTGTCCGTGAAGCGTTGGGTGGCGAGATCCGAAGGAACTGGTGGTGGGGAGGCTATATCCACGAGAAAGATGCCAGGATTAAAATGACAGTTTCAGGTACAGTCTATACACCGCGAACCCTCGCAGAGCTCCACGCAGAAAACGCAGTGCGCCCGGCGGGCAGGCACCCCAGAAAATCTTGTCTACGTCTCGAACTCTGAATGTTCGCATTTGCGGTGATACACAGGCCCCACTGGACTCCGTGGATATGTAACATGCGATCTTATGAGGAGGCCAGACGGGCAGTGGCAGGTCCTTTTGCTGAATTTCGTGTGCCTTGATTCAGAGACCCAGCAAAGTGCGTTGCTGGTGTTGCGGCTGCTGGTGTTGCTGCTGTTTCTGGGGTGTACAGACAGATGCAGGGCGACAGGCTTGCAAGCGGTGATGGCGGAGGGATGACTCGGCGAGACCCCTTTGCGCTTGCGTTTAGCGTAGGTGGATGTGTGTGTGTGTGTTTTGTGTTCGTGCGTATTTGCGCATATTTGCATGTACGTACATATATAGAGCGTGTTACCGCCGTCACTATCACTGTTGGCGGAGTGTGTTGGTGTACATGTGCAGCTACGCAAAATCCAATGTCTGGTGTTGTGGCGCTCGTTCCTGACCAGCTACCCCGCTCTCAACAGCACCGAAATTTCTTACGAGGTAGGCCTGAACAGATGATGAAATGCGCACGTGTCAAGCTGCTGGCTACTGTCAGGGGTTCTTTGCCTTCGGGAATAGGGCCTCTCGAATGTGCGACTTACTGGCTCAGGCTGCCCAATAGCCGCCCTCCCCACAGAGGCGCAAGAAGCTTCGAAGGACGCCCACTCTTCTCAGCAAGGCACAACGAGCAGCAGCAGCAGCAGCAATGGTACTGGGAGCTGATTTGTATTTATTTGGGGATGTATAGACTGGGCAGCATGCTGGAGGCATCCCTTATAGGCACTCTCACTATAAGATTCGATATAAGTGTACAAAAACCCTTCAGATTCAATTTTTAGTCCCATGGTTCGGACAGTAAGGGGTTGCATAGTACTTGCGGTTCGATGACGGTCAATATGATACACCTGCCACGGCCTAGTGAAAAGCCTTTGGCAGAGCTCAGCCTATATACATATATCAATATGGATAGAGCTAGACATGCAGGTATTAGTATATGCACGGACGCATATGCACCGTTAAAAGAAAGTGCAGGAGGCGCCTCTCCTGCCTATACTCCCGCATGGTGGAGAAGTCCTCTGTGAATGGGCTCTGCAACTTGGCAGAGCAACCAGCAAACGCAGAAAAGGCGGCAGAAGCGGCTTCTGCCGCTTCTTATGCATGCCTTCGCGGTGCAACGGGCTAAGTCGCCGGCTTCGATGAAGGCGGCACCATTCGCTTGAGTCTTCAGAAAAGGCGCAAAGCGGCACAAAGAAGTTGTTGTGTGGCGTCTTGCCTGGACATCCACTAGTGCAAAAGCGGCTGCCGTTGCTGCTGCTGTTCGTGCTGCCGTTGCTGCTGCTGCTGCCGCCTTTCGTACTGCACTCTCGCTGCCAGGAGAACTTCCAACTGCCTTGTTTCCAGAAAGCCCCTTTGCCAGGGCCCTCCCATGAACTGCCAGAGCCGCTCGAAAGAAGCTGGGAAGCAAAAGTCGAGATCGTCTGAAAAAGCCAGCAACTGCGGCGCACAAAGGACGGCAGAAGGGGGCTGGAGCGCGATGTGTTTCCTGTACATACATACAGACTCCACCCACGACCCCTAGTCCTCCCCCCCTTCCCTCCCCTCCCCTCGCTCAAACAACAACCCTAGCACACAAAACAGCAGCTGCCCTGATGAAAACACCTCTTACTTCCTCAATGAAGACGTGTGGGAGTGAGCTGCTAGAGATCCTCATGCCCAGTTGCACCTCGACGGGCACGACTTCCAGGATGGACAGCCAGCAGGACAGAGGCAGCCCTTCATCCAATAATTGCGCCAGACCTAACCATAACCCGCAAAACAATAGCCAAATCAAAGAACAGTCCGAAAGTGCCACCCACACCGGATCTATCGTCGTTTCCAACCTGTCGCTGCTGCTGCTTCTGCTGCTGCTGTCGCTGCTGCCCTTTGGTGGGGCACTATTAGCCCAGAGAGGAGCTCCTGGGAGCTGCTCCCGCTCCTGCTGCTGCAGCTGAGATCGGTGACGCTGCAGGTCTAACCACGCCTCGTGGCAGCCTCGCAGCTCCCTCCTTAGGAACTCCCCAGCAGCCAGTGTCTCCAGTTCTGCTGCTGTGGACGCCGCAGCGGAAGATACTCCCGGTGGCTGTCGCTCCTGCTGCATTGGCTGAAGCTTCGAAGGCAGCTGCTCCTGACGGCGACAGGCGCTGCACTCGGGGTACCTGTCCTGCCGCTTCATGTTACCCGTACAGCCGTTGCTGCATGCGCTGCTGCTCGTGTTGCTGCTAAAGGCCCTGCTGCTGCTTCTGCTGCTGCTACGGTTCTTGCCACCCTCGATGCCGCTGCTGCTGCTGGCGCCTCCAAGAAGCATGTCTCTACGCTTCTCGCAGAGGACGAACCCTTGGATGAGACCCATGGCTAGGGTCGAGTGACCAACTGCGTGGTTGTGAAGCAAATTGAGTAGATACAAAAGACACTCCCAAACTCCAAAACGAGAGGCAATGCCCCAACTGCAGCAGCATAGGTAGAGGGCCGTTGCTGCCTCGACAGTATGGGGATTGTAGTGCTTGATCACCGCAGCGCTGCCGCTGCTGCTGCTCCCGCTGCTGCTGGATCTGCCTGGACTGCTGCTGATGCTAGGGGGCAGGCGGATGTTACTGGCACATGGGGAACCGCATCTGCACAGCGGAATGGCCCTTAGCTGGTGAGACGGCCCAGAGGCAGTCTTAGGGAAGCTGCGGCTGCGTCTGCCCCTGCGTCTGTGGCTTGGAGCGAAGGCGCCTTCGCAGGTGTGCTGCTGCCTCCTGTTTGCATGTTTCTGCATGTAGCTCGATCCCCCAGCGCTGCGGAGCTTGTTAGGGAAAGGGCTGCTCCTGCAGCTGCTGCTGCTGCTGCTGACATTAGAGGAGCCGCTGCAGTGGCCTGAACAATCCACCGAGTTTCGACGACTGAAGAGTGCCATGCTGGACGTGGCATCTTGGCGCCTACGATGAGCAAGAGCGTGGTGCTGTTGTTGCTGCTGCTGATGCTGCCTATGCTTCTGCGGCCCCTGATCAGGCCCGAGCTCCCCTCCTTGCTGTAACTGCTTCACCTCCCCTTCTGGGAGAGATGCTGGTTGCCTTCTCAAGCACCTGGCCTGCAGCGTGAAGTGTTGCTCCTGTTCTTGTGGCAGTTGCTGCTCTCTCTGCTGCTGCTGCACACCCTTGCCGCTGCTTGGCGTAGTCTTTTCCATCCAGCCCCTAGTACCCGTGTTGCTGGTGCTGCTGCTTCTGCGTGATTGAAGGGATGTCGCTAGAGCAGGCGCCCGCAAACGGCTGGTAAGTCCTGGACCGCCTAAGGCTGGCAGCTTCGATGTTGCGCCTATAACACTGATAAGCCTTCTAAATTGTAATAACTTTAGTTTTTGATGCCACTTCCTGATTCCTAACTCCGCAACATCAAACACGCTTCCTGCGGCTTCGGGTCACCTGCTGCTATTGCGGCCACGGTGGTTGACTGCTGCTGCTATTGCTAAGAACGTTGCTAATGAGTCTAATACTTATTGAGGTACTTCATATATATATACCTGTAGAAGAAATACGACATGAGACATGTAGTTCGACATATTTTGCAGCAACTGCTGCATGCAAGAGCAGCAGTAGCAGCACCAGCAGCAGCTGTTGCTGCTGCTCAAACACTGGGCTCCCACCAACCCGAACATCTCCTTTCCTAGAGCACCCCCTGCAGTACAACGAAAAGGACGACGGCGGCGATAATTCTTTCTTTTTTTGCATCCGCAGCAGCAACCTGTCGCCAAGCCGTGGGAGATCCCTCTGTGTAAACCCTCCGCTGCTGCGGCGTCTTGCGCTGCTGAAATGACGCGGCCTACACTGCTGGTGCAGGATCACCAGCAGCAAGATCTCCGCCCCACTCTGCTGCGTTCGAGAGGACCTGAGGCAGCGAATCAGCATCCATTGCTGCTGCAGTACAAGGGAATCGCAGCCGCAACAGCAGACGCAGGCCAGAAACGGCCAAAGCAGCAAGACCCTCACTATCCAACCGTAGACATCCCACATCCCCAGGAGCCTCATAGCCATGAATTGCAGCGGCAGAAACATCGCACAACAGCAGCAGCAGGCAGACCAACAGGGCCCCCGGCAGCAACAGCGACAGCAGCGCCGGCACCAGCAACAGCATTCTCACCCTCCGAGCAGGAGATCCTGAGGGAAGCATTCAATGTCTTTGATCGGGATGGAGATGGGTTGCTACAAGCCAGCGAATTTCGCGCCGCTTGTACCGCCCTCGGTGTACAGACCCCCGAACCCATGGTCTGCTGCTCCTGGTCTTGCCCTATTTCGGTGCTTAGTCAGAGCGTTTCCTTATCTCGTCATGAAAACTGCTGAGTTCGCGTGCAATGTCTGCAAAATACTAACTCACACATGTCACAGCGTTCGCCGCACGATTCGCTTGGAACCTTGTTGTGTATATGTTTTTCTCTTAGGCGGCAAAGATGCTATTGTTGGAGGGTCGTGGATCAGGTGTTTCCTTTTCTGAATTCTGCAACTTCGCATGCGGGTCGTTTTCACTGGAAGAAGATATCAGCGAAGCGGGTAATCTTTTTAAGCTTTTTGACCACGGCGACAAAGGTATGTGCAGTTGGTCTTTTTGTGTAAACGCAGGCTGCTCATTCTGCAGGACTGCTGGCTGCTGGACTGCTTGATGCTGCGTTCCTGCTAAGACTCCACTTTCAATGTTGATTACAGCTGTCGTTCGAGCTGCCATGCCACGCCACCAACAGCAGCCGCATGCACACACCCACAAGCCCTCTCTTATTTAACAAGTATATATCCAGTTTTAGAGCCTACTATGTGTTCATACGCAGGATACTTGACACTGCGAGATCTGGCCGAAGCGTCAGAGTGCTGCGGCGGTGCATTTTCTGTTGAGCAGCTCGAGCTGATGCTCCGGCATCTCTCCCCGGATGGCAGTGGCCATGTGTTTTTGCAGCAATTTAAAAAGCTCTTTACCAACAAGCAGCGACTTGCACCCAGGAATTAGTGTTTGCTATGGCAACAGAAAAATACGCAGCAGTAACGGCACTAGCACCTGCCGCTGCGTGCGTTGGTGCGGCAGCTGTCTGAGACTGTTCTTGCAACAGCGCGGTGCTGTTTTTGACTCATCTTGTCATTTTCCTACATAGTTTTCATTGGGATGCATGGCATACAGCTTGAGGACGGGCCGTATGCCTTCGGGGCATTTGCTTTGACGTGTGCATCTTTCGTTCGTGCCACTGCTAGAGCGAGCCCTGCTGCCAACAGCGCTTGCTGCTGCAGCGCGGCTCCTACGCAGCGTAATTGGCAAGCGTAACAACTCAACTTGTTTATGTCAGACAGCAGGTAGCATGCAGTCAGCGGTCCGGTGGGGGACGGGGTAGAGGGGCCGTAAGTACGGGGAACGGCCAAGGGGGGTTAGCCTACAGCTCCTTCTCTGCTGCCTTTCGCAGCTGTGCAAAAATGCGGTCGCCCTCCAGCTGGTGCTGCAACACCAGCAAAAAGGCTGGCAGCACCCGCACGAGTTGCAACACCACAAGCCGAAACGGCAGCGCCTAGGCTAAGAAGATAGGGAGAAAGATTCTCGATTGCAGTGCGTCGTTCCAGCTGTACAAACGGGTAGCGGCAGCTTGCTAGGGAGTGTCTGCAGTGCGGCTCTCACAGAGTGTAAGTTGTGATCTTTTAGGTGAACGTATCTCTTAGTCAGTCGGTCGAGGGCCTTCGCATGCAGGACCTTGAGATGGTGTCTTGCTGCAGCAAGTCGGCCATCCACGCTCTCCCTCTCCTGCTGCTGCCGCTGCTGTAGTAGCTCATACTTTTTCCGTATCGCGGCGTCGCGCTGCGCCTTCCAGGAGATTAGCTCCTCCCGCTCGAGCCGATCCGCCATCTTCTTAAGACGGGCAGCCGCTTCGTACCTGCAGCAGCAGCAGCGGCAGCAGGTGTATTGGCACGGCCACGTTCCGACTCAAAGGAACGATACCGAAGCATAGCGAACAGCGGCAAAAATGATTGGAGAAGCCGGATGGTTTGGCGGAAGTAAGAGGGGGATCCAGCAGCGACCAAAGGACTGATGCCTCCTACCTGTGGGCCTTTGCCTGCAGGATCTCGTTCTGTCTGAGTCGAATGAGCCGCGAGCTCCAATGTGGCGCCCTTGGCTGTATGTATACCACTGTCCTCTCAAGAGACCTCGCAGTTTCCTCCATTTGTCGCTCCCGCAGCTCCTGATGTAGCCTCTCTTTCCACACATAAAGCGAAGAGCCTCAAAGGAAGCTATGAAACTATGGGCCCCCTGTCCCAGCTTCGTCTGTACGGCACCAATTTGTGCAGTATGGTTTTCTAGTTTCAGTGCTTGCTGCCTAGAGGACGCGACTGCTTCGGTGCAACTCCCCTGCAGGCGGCGTTGGCTAGCACACCAGGCGAGAGACGCCAAAGATTTGTAGCTCCCTGAGCGTCTCTTAGCTGGCCCGCTTGCTAGGCAGTGGCTAGCTGAGAAATGTCGAGGGTTGGCAGGCGGCTGTGTCTCTGAGCTCCATCTAACCCTGGAGTACCCATATAGTTACAGTGTTTCTCACTGGCGTGGGCCTCGAAAGCCTCAGTGCTTTTCTGCTGTACGCATGGCGAAAGCAGGAGGAACGGATACAATATCCGGTGCAAGAAAGAGCGGCCAGGGGCTCTACTGCTCCAACGAATGCGCAGACCGAACTCCAATGCATGAAAAGCGAAGCAAGACAAGCAGGTAATGTGTTCCAGCCATCAAAATATTGGGAGTAAGACGAAGAATCAATAGTAGAGAAACGAAAGTGTATGTACATTATACTCTGGCATCGTGCATTCAGACTCAGCCTCCCGTACAAGGAAACGTTTGTATGACTGCGCAGTCATATGAATTTTCGTATGCCAACATAGAGGTCTCTAGAAATATAAAGCACCCCAGACGTAGCTCGTATTTTCGGTTATTTCCAGCTAAGGATGGAAGCAAAATAGATCTACCCGCTCACACATACGCAGAGAACACCGATTTTTCGGCTTACTGGCTACCTGTGAGTGACCCTCAAGGCCTAACGGATTCTCTAGGCTCATAAATTCGTTTAGATCTCGTGTTCCTTCGGTGTTCATGAATGTGCACTCGCACCCATGCTGTTGTAAGCCTCTCGATCTCCTCATAGTGGGCATGCTCTACTGCTGCCTGCTGCAGCAAGTGCTTGCCTCTAATCCTTTCTTGCACTACAGCGAAGAGGTAAGCTTCTAACTCCTCAATGTGACTTTGTGCAATTTGTGCGTCCCCGTATTGGCCCCTGGCTGCATACGCATCTCTATAGGCGCGAAGTGACCGAATACCAGCTCGGACCGTAGCCTCGTCCACCAAACAGTCCTCCTCGTCGGAGGTGGTGCTCTCCACCCCATCCTCTAGGCTCACAGAGACGCGTGTAGCCCTTTTATTGCCATTAAGATCTTGTGGTGTATACTCTGAGGGGTAGACCCCGCTGGCAGCTACGGCAGCAACACTGCTTGCTTCGCCATCGCAGGCAGACGATTGGAGTGAGTCACGGCTAGTGGGATGCATATTGATAAGGGCAAGCAAATTTGATTACTGAGCTGTATGAATCCCGATTTCACACGCTGGAGCCAGCTTACGAGTCGGCTGTGGGATAGTGCTCTTGGCCGCACCGAGAGCGGCAGTTAAGCTACATCTCAGACTCGACTCACACGGAACCGAAACTCCCTCAAAGAGATCTTAAAAGCTCTTATCCAAGATTAATCAATGCACGAAAAGAAATTTACACCGCTGCTCGAGTTTACGGATATGCCAGAGGAGCACCCAGCATGACAGTTGGAGCATGCGCGAACAGCTCAACGCATTGAAGTTCATACAGATCTTGCTTTAGAATGCACTATCGCCCCTCTCAGGAGAGAAAAAAAGATTTTAGAAGTCATAAGCTCTATTTACTTCCTTGTATCCATGATAGTCCTTGTGGAGAGCTGCGGTCTTGCCCTCTGGCCGTTATTGGGGTGGGCTACGCAGCTATACACCGAACGAGCAAGTCGTCACCGAGTACATCATCCTGCCAATAGCGTAGCCGCTCCACGCTATCCAAAAAAAATAGGCTTAATTACGATTCATGAATCTAAGATTTCTTTCAGCAGTGACTGACAGAATCCTGCGAACTGCCCTCCGCACTGGATGGGGGTCACTTACTTGTTCACTGGACGGCTCCAGGTGGCGCGCTTCGCCTGGCTTGTCTTCAGCTAACAGTAGCTGCTTCCAGTCTTTCTGTGTTAGACAGCCGAATATATCTTGCCTATCTCTCCATCAGGTAATTCAAGAAAATCCCGGCCGGATTATTCGTTAAGCAGGCCTTTTTTTCCGTGTTTACTGTGCAGCAAGTTCACAGCAGCTGTGGGGTGACAAGAGCACGCATCGATCGCTTTTGCGTGATCCACATATACACCCCGCGACACGCCGCCCTCTATCTTCATCCGATCTCCTTATCTCTGTAGAGACTCATCTCCTTCTTTGCCAAGCTTTTTATAGCTTCGAATCACCTCAATGACGCCTCCTCTGAGGGGCAGCCCTACGGGGAGGCTCTCGGCAGCAGCAGCAGCAATTGCTACTGCTGCTATGTCTGCCTTGCTACTTTCACCATCGGCTAAAGCCCAGGAGCCTTACGGAGTGCCGAGCGAGGCCAGCTGGGCGCCCGCTTCAGCTTCCTCCACGCTTTCGTATAGCCCCTCTGCCTTCTCTGCATCTGCATCTCCGTCTGCATATATCTCCCCCTCCCTCTCCTTCTCGGCTTCCTCCTCTTACCAATACACGAACTACCCTGAATACCAGGGATCTGGCGGAGGCCCCCAAGTGGCTTCGGAGCTCTCTGGCCTCGGATATTTTACAGCGAGTCTCGATACTCGAGCCATCTCTGCGGGGCAGTACAGCGCCTCCCCCGAAACTTTCTCCGTTTCTCCCTCTAGCTCCATCCCCGCATTCGACTCTTTCACGCCGTATGCCCCCCCGGCTGCTCCCTCTTTTGCCCCCTCGGCTGCTCCCCCTTTTGCCCCCTCGGCTGCTCCCCCTTTTGCCCCCTCGGCTGCTCCCCCTTTTGCCCCCTCGGCTGCTCCCCCTTTTGCCCCCTCGGCTGCTCCCCCTTTCGCCCCCTCAGCTGCTCCCTCCTCAGCTGCTGCCTACCAGGATGCAGGCATTGCCACCACAGAGGCGACCGCAACAGCAGCGAGCGCCTACGAGGCCTACGCGTCGGGGGGCCTCACCGCCTCCAGTGGCTCACCCTACACCCCAGCAAGCAACCCTGTTTCCCCGTCATACTTTGATGTGGGGTCTCCATCCTACAGCAGCAGCAGCACCGGTGGCAGCAGTAGCACCAGCGACAGCACTGGCTCCTATACGCCAGCCACCTATGGAGGCCCTGCTGCATACCAGTCGACCGCGCAATATGACACTACTCCCACGTCTGAACCCTCCCCGACCACCCCCACCAGTTACAGCAGCCCAACGGCGGCTGCAGCGCCTTCTGAGGTGCTACAGCAGGCTCAAATGATGCCCCCGACACAGCAGTCTGACGTAGGCTCGGTCACGATAACCCCCATTCAGACTGCAGCAGCAACGGCAGCAGCAGCACCGTCGGCAGCAGCACTCGCCTCAGCACCCGTTCCACAGGCAACGGCCGCTGCAGCAGCAGGAGTCGAAATTGCTCCATCGTCGTCAGTGCCTCAAGGTACTCCTGTCGTTCAGGAAGGTCCCACAGAAATGGCTCCCTTGCCTTCGCCCTCGATGCCTGTAGCTGGGGTAGCAGAGGCAGCCGCAGAGATGCAGACAGCCGCAGTAGCCGCTGTCGCTGCAGACACCACCGCTACGGCAGACATGGCGGAAGCAGCCGTAGCAGCAGAAGCAGCGGCTGCCGCATTAGAGGCCTTGCAGGAGACCTTAACATCTCCGACGCAGCACCATGAGGCTACGACAGAAGCAGTGGCAAACACGGAACAAGTGGATTCGCATGCCGCGGAGACAGTTGCCGCGCAAGGAGCGCCAGAGCACCCGCCAAGTGTCCAAGTGTCGCCTACGGCAGACAGCTCTCCAGACACTGTATCAGCCGAGACTACCGCTGCAAGGCAGCCAACTGAGAGCTCCGAAGCAGCGCAACAAGAAGGGGCAGAAAGTGCCCGAGTTCAAGACGAAGCGTCTGCGGTAGCTCTTACAGAGCCAACCGCCGCTCAGACACCCTCCGAAGGGCAACAACATACGCCTGTGGAAGAGCAGACGCAGCAGCAGGGGGAGACAGCAGAAGGCCTACTCACGGCTGCCGCTGGAGACACCTACGTCGAAACTCCGGCAGCAGCGTCAACAACACAGTCAGCAGAGGTCGATGCAGGAGGACATACTACATTAGCGGAGGGCACAACAGCTCTCCCTTCGGAAGCCGTTATGCCTCTCGCTGAAGCTGCGGAGGCACAGCATGCCAGCTCCCACCCCAGCCAGAGCGCAACAGGGGAAGCCTCTGAGGACCAGCAGCAGCAGAGTCAACAGCCAAACGAGCCGCCGCAGCTACAGCAAGCGACAGAGACACATGCCGCGTACGAGTCTTTGGGGGCCCTCCCGAATGCGCATCCCCAGGAGGAGGGCAGCACAGAAGGGGCCCCCACGGGTGCTGCGACTCCCCCCTCCTCTCTTTCTGCTGCTGTCGATGAAGCTGTCATGTTCGCTGCAGCGATCAACGCACCCTCCTCTGCTCCTGCCGAAGCGGGAAGCGCAGATGAGGCAGAAAGTCAAGCGGCGGCTACTCAAGGCGGCATGCTGCCAGAGAGCTACCCCGAGGGGCCAACCCTTGAGACCCCACTCGAAGAAATGATGATGGAGCATGCGCAGAACAATCCAGCAGCGGCTACGCAGGCAGAAGAGGATTCACAGGGGCCTCATAGAGAGTCTGAAGCCGCAGGAGCAGCACCTGCTGCAGACGGCCAACTCGATGCAGCAGCAAGCGAACCCACGCAGAGAGGCGCTCTCGACACGCTTACGGGGGTTACGCAACAAGCCATTGCCTTTGGCAGCCACCCCGAGTCTGAAACAGACGAAACAGCAGAGTCGCAACAGCAGCAGCACCCTGGGCAAAGCCAGCAGCAGCGAGGGCAAGGCACGTTGGAGCAGGAAGCGAGTGCTCAACAACACGAGATTGTGATCCGCCTTCTTACAGGCGATAAAGAAGATCTGGCCGCCTCCTTGAGCCGCCTCGCTGAGACGATACGACACCGCGAAAGGCTCGCAAACCCCCACGAGGAGCTGGAAACTGTTGAGGGCACTGAGCAGCAGGAGCAGCAACAGACTCCCGCAGATGCTACCGAAAATGCAGAGGGTGTGGCTGCGCCACTCAAGCCGGGGACCCCGCAGGAGGAAGAACAAGATCAAAGTGGAGAAGAAACGCCAGATAGGAGTCGCCAGTACATTTTTCAGAGCGTCTCGCAGCAGCAGCAGCAGGATCTGCCAGCGGAGGTGGAGGCGCTGCAGCAGGTTCTGATCCAGCAGCAGCTCCAGCAGACGCACCAGCAAGTGCTTCTCGAAGAAGAGCTCAATGGCTCAGTGGAAGTGCCCGATATCGAGGCGTATGTAAAGCAAATACAGGAGCAACAGGAGGAGCAGCATCAGCACCAGAGTGAGAAGAAGCAGGAGAGCGAGCAGGGAAGCGAGACTGCAGGTGAGGCCGCTTCACCAGGGCGTGTGCTGCAACAGAATGAGGGTCGCCGTCGGCAAAGGGGGGAAACACGAAGGGAAGGCCGTGTTAATGCTAGTTCTGTCGACAGCAGCAGCACCAGCAGCAGCAATGGTGTTCCTCGTGCGCGCCGCAGGTTCAATAACCGAAGAGAGTGGGAGGTCAGCAACACCCGAAACAGCAGCGCTAGCAGAGAGCGAAGAAGCGAAGAAATGAGCAGACGCAGCAACAGCAGCGGCAGTAGAAGAAGTTCCAGTACCGTGGCTAATTCGGATGTTGAGGACGTAGAGGATGCTGAGGTGCGTGTTGTACACCCCAGCACAGGCAGCAGGCCGGCAGCCACTGTACGAACAGCTGGAGCACACGACGAGATGGCAGCGGCAGCAGGAGCAACAGTTAGAGCCGCAACAAGGCCGTCAACTACAACGGCAGCAACACAGACGCGCCGCAGCAGCGACACAACAGCCCAGGAAGTAACAAGCGCACAGGAGGCGTGGGAAGGAGACGTCGAGTGGGAAGCGTGAGGAGCCCCTGAAAAACACCTTTTGCAGTTTGTCTGTTCGATTCATAGTGTTTAGACGCGCGCAAAGCAGCCCCAGCAACAAAAATGGATGCAGCAAGAGCTGCAGGAACAAATCGGCTGCTGTAGCGGTCCGATTGCTACCACTTGAAGGCAATGGGCCCCCGTGCGCAAAGCCTGCAGCAAAGAATCTTACGGAAAACTCTGCACCTGAAAGACCAACAACAACGGGTGCTACTTCTTTCGACGGAGTAGTGTGCGAATACCTCATAGACACACAAATCATATAATTTGAGCTGTGCGTGCATGCATCGTCCCCACAAGAATGCTAGAACAGTCGTCAGTCACTTCTTCTCTTTGCGGATCTCAAAACGGCTGTTGTTGCTGCTGCTGTTGCTGTTGCTGCTGCTGTTGTTGTTGCTGCTGCTGTTGTTGTTGCTGCTGCTGTCGAGCTACTGCGACTGCTACTGAGGCAGCGTGCTGGCGGTTTGGTACCGCTGCTAGTGTAGGTTTCATTCTTGCTGTTGCGTTTGTTGCGAGTGCGGCTGCCACGGGGAATGTCGCTGGCTCCATTGCTACCTGTGTTCGGTGCTGTCGTATCTGCATATGTGTGGGGAAGTCAGGAGGCCCTCTAGATAAGGGCTTGTCCACACTGCAGCCCTCCTGTTTTAGGCCACTCGGGTATTGCTAGACGTGTTTAGGCTGTATAGACAGCACTAGGTCACCCCTTCATGTGAGACAGCCCGCTTTGGAGATTGGGCTTGCCCTCGAAAGCTATGCGCTATTGTACACCAAATCACTTGAGTGAAGCTGAACAGTGCTTTGCTACTCAGGCACTGGGAAGCAGTCCTGTCAGCGCCGACATTTCATGTGCGCCGTCTGAAAGCAAGCTGTGTTGCTGCTGCCGCTGCCGTTCAGCTGTGCACAACCCACGGCAAGCGCTACAGCCAGTGGCTGCTTCGATCTGCCTGCTATAATTCGCATGCACTGCAGTCTCCGTAGCACAGACTTGAAAAGCGGATTCCTAGATCCTATGCCGTCAACACGTAACACACGCCTTATTCCCCTGATGTGTGGGGACTCTCTAGGACGGCCACGGCCTAACGTTGCAGTTTTCGTCGTTGCATTCCGCTGCAGGAGCAGCAGCTGCTGCGGCTGCTGCCCCTGTTATGGAAATTGCTTCTTAAAGGGCTTAGTTCTCCTGCCCAGCAAGACACTGGGGAGTTCCTGCGCTACCAGCTCCCCGAGTGCCCGTTAGAGATCTAGGTAAAGCGGCGAGACACGAGAATACTACATACTCGCCAGTGGAGTCGGCGTTAGGAGAGCTCTTTCGTGTCTTGGGGGAGGCCTTCAGCGGCTCTAAGCTGCCCCAATACATCGCCGCCAACGTGCCTATGGACCACGCCCATGCGCGATTCCACTTTCTATGCAAGGTGCTGCACGCCTGCTGCGACTACCTGCGTCGATCAGCGGCGAGCTGTGGCTGCTTGCCGTCAGCTAGGGGTACCCCGTAGATGTGTCATCTTTAGCAAGACGCATGCCGTGGTGTTCTTCTCTCCCTGAGCAACAGCCGCTGACTCGTGAGAATTCGGTGGAGGGCCAGAGACTGGATAGACCAACCCCCGGAGAAGCACTCGGAATAAGTACCACTCTAGCGACGAAACAAAAGGCCATAAAGATAATAAACCCCATAACAATGCCCGCGACAGTTCGCAAGTGCGACGCTGCCGTAGAAGGAGCCTGGCAGCAGACAGACCAGCCCGCAAGGAAAGGCTACTCACTACACCCCAGATCCCTACTACGCACACGTAGACCATTAAATCCTTGAACTCTTGGACCCCTTTCCTTGAAATGGCAACCCATCGCCTTTGAGTCGTCGCGACTGCTGGAGAAAAACGCTGCTCGTTTGAACCCTCAACCGTAGAGGCGCACCACACGGCTTCCGCCTTGGCATCTGCGATCCCTACGCTGGCCGGTTCTTTCCCATTTCCGCAGTCGATTTCGCACCTTTCTAGCCCTCCTTGTTTTGTTTCCCTTTTCCCAATCAAGGGGCCCCCTTCCGCGGGGGCCTTGCCGGGGGGCCCCCCCCTGTAGCAACAGCTGCGGGCGGAGGCACAAGTTGAGAAGCGGAAGCGCGACCGGGCGTCTTCTTCCACGCCGTTGAGATGACGCAGCACGCGTCAGGCGCTCACCAACAGCAGCAACAGCAGCAGCGGCAACAGCAGTCTCCCCAGCAGACGCCACCTCGCTACAGCGTTTGGCCTTCCCCCCCCCATGCCCCCTTCCTCCACAGGACCGTCTCGCGCACGTCTCCCGCGGCGTCTTACAGTCAGTCTCACCCCCGTTCGGCGCCTCTTGGGAATCCGCAGCAGCGGATTGCATGCAGGGGGGTTCTGGAAGGGGGCAGCGAGGCGCACAGGAGGGGTGTCGCCTCCCTCGATGCCCACCCCAGTCACTATAGCGTGTACTTCGCTTCGCATCAGGAGCTTTCTTTGGAAGCCTCTCAGGAAAAAGGCACTCCTGAGGGAGCCTTCAGAAGAAGCAGCACCTTCCACACAAGCTACGGCAGGCACGAGACAGCGCAGCTCGAGGAAGACTCGCAGCGATGTCACTTCTGGTTCAAGCCCGATGAAGAAGAAGCAGTCCTTGATGCCTCCACAGAAGGCCCCCCCCCCGGATCAGCGAAAGCAGACGACGTAGAAGTGCAAATCGAAACAGCAGCAGCAGCAGCAGCAGCAGCAGCCAGCAGTGACACTGGACTACCCAGCGAAAGGCCTCCTGCCTCCGCCTTCCTCCCTAGAGAAGATCGCACAAAAGAAAGGGTAGTTCCCGTCTTCTTAGAAGACACCAACCACGCAACTGATGAAGCAACACGTCCTGAAGTCTATGGGAACCTCCAGGTTCGTGCTGGTGCCCTGTCAGCCTGTGTATTTGCGCATTTACATGTATTTATACATATATGCATGTTTATACATATATGCATGTATGCGTATATATATATGCATAGATACATATATATATACATGCATGTAAATATGTACAGATACATACATATATACATATACATATGTATAGATACACATATACATACACATATGTATAGGTACATTTATGCATATTTACATATGTATATACATGTATATATATACATGCATATATATATATATCCCTCCCTCCCCGCCCGCCAAAGAAGGGCTCTTTAATACACCTCTTTGCCTCCCTCCCTCCCTCCCTGCCTGCCTGCCTGCCTGCCTCTCTCTCTCTTGTCTTCAAATTTATACTTGTCTGCTGCACGCCGCGTCCATCTCTCGGCGACATCTCTGCGGAGGCACGCGCTTGATTTCCGTTCAAGGAAGAGACAGTGGTGCTGCGCTGCATCTTCGCCATCTGAATTTCGTAGTGAAGACACTTTTCCTGCACGCGCAACAGTGCAGACGTTCTCTAAAGCTCGGCTAGAAGGACAGCTGTGCCCCTTCTTCTGCTCTCACTTGTTTTTCCTCCTCTTTATCTCTCTCTCTTTCTCTCTCTCTCTCTGTGTGTGTATATGTGTGCATAAATATATGTAGATATGTATGTATATGTGTATGCATATACAGAGCATGTCTATCTCTCTCTCTCTGTCTCTCTTTGTATGCGTCTTGCATCGGCGTCCACCAAGCAGGAGACCGTTGCAGGCTTTTGGCAGGGATGGAGCTCTGGGGTTGTATAACGGCGCATTCTGTGTGTTGCTTCGTATATTTGTTGTGTAATGTTTTGTCCGTGAGGTTCTTAGCGCTAAGCGGCTCCTGTCCATCACTTTCGAGAGCCATGACGCTGTCTCTCTCTCTCTCTGTATGCGTGTGTATGTGAGTATGTGTATGTGTGAATGTGTGTGAATGTGTATGTATGTGTGAATGTGTATGTATGTGTATGTGTGAATGTGTCTCTTTGAATGTTTATGTGTGAATGTGTGAATGTGTATGTGTATGTATGTGTGAATGTGTCTCTTTGAATATTTATGTGTGAATGTGTATGTGTATGTATGTGTATGTACTGCGTGTCTTCAGGTCTTGGTGGACATCGATGATACGGTTCGCTCTAGTGGGGGAATTACGTTTCTCTCCGTAAATCTTGGTGGTGGGATTTGCAGCCTCTCTCGAGTAGCTCTGAACAATTTATAAAAAGAATAATTTCCCCTAGATTGCCTCAGAAGTCTTCCTGGATTTATCGTCGGTTGTTCGTTTCTCTCTCTCTCTCTCTCTGTCTCTCTCTCTCTCTGTCTCTCTCTGTCTCTCTCTCTGTCTCTCTGTCTCTCTCTGTCTCTCTCTGGCTAGCTGACTGGCTTGTTGGCTAGCGCTGATTTCGCGTCGTAAGGACAGCTGCACACGCCACTCGATAGCTCTTTCGCCTCGCAGTGGGGAGAGGCAGAGTCTGCGTGGAATCCCTGTGTGCCTCTTCTTGTGTTGCGCCTATCGTCGGCTCCTCTGTACCCACTGCACACCAAGTTCTCTTCTCCCTGCTCTCCAGAGAGAAGAGGGAAAGGCGGCCTTTGTTTGCATTCACCATGCCGAAACATCCAGGCTGCCCAATTTTCCCCCTTGCCGATAGATGCAATGCACCTATATTTGCATTTGTCGGTGCGCTTCTTTGGGTGTCTTTGACGGTAGGCGTGGACACCCAGTATGCTCGTGGGCATTTCTATCCAGGATGTTTCCAGTTTCTCTTCGAGCTGGCGAATGCGCAGTGCATCCCGCCGCAGCGGCCGCTCTCCCTTGCAGTCCTTACGGCTCGAATTCCACAGGCAAGTCTTCGTCGCGACATTCCTTCGAGGCTTGCTCGCGCGTTCATGCTAGCATGTCTTCTCTTGCTCGAGGACGCGTGCCTGCAGCATCAGCAACGGCCGCCCTTGTGGCTTGCCTCCACCCCACGCTGTTGCATTTGTCTTGTCTTTCTGCGCTTTTGGTGCCTTCTCAACTCGCCGTCGAGAAGGAACCAGAAGCCTTTCCCGGGGGGGCGGGGAGAAAGGGCATCGCTGGCTGCTGCATGCCTTTTTGGCGAGCCGCGTTTGCGCCAGAGGCTTTCACGCCTTCGCCAGACTATCGCTTCACACCGAGCTGGAGGGAGGGAGGAAAGAGGGCCTCCCTCGGGTACAAGCAGCCATCGATCTGCGTTGCATTGGCTCTATTTGCACAGATACCCATCACAGAAGACAACCCGATCAACGAAAAGCTGAGGCTAACAGCCCTGAGACGCGGTGTTCGTGACTGGGGGATCGACTGTAACTCTAAGTAAGCGGCAAACGCAAAGGCAGCCGCGTGCGAGGCTGCCTTTGCCTGTAAAAGGCCTTAGTGGTTCTTTGTCTCCTTCAAGGCACGTCTGTCTCTGTTGAGATCTGGGGGGGGGGTATTGCATCTTTCTTTTCGACACTAAGAGGACTCGACATTTTCTTTAAGAGCCTTCTTTCTCCGCCTGTCTGTCTGTCTGTCTGTCTGTCTGTCTCCCTCTTTCTCTCTGTCTTTCTCTCTGTCTCTCTCTCCAGCTCTACTTTGTGCGACTAATCGTCTACGGCTGTATGTGCTGCCGTTTGGGGGGGGCGGGGGGGACTGTTTCTTGTTGGTTCAGGGTGCTCTACTCCTCGTTGAACGAATGGCTGTTCCCGAGAGAAAAGGCAAAGAAGAAGTTGGAGAATTTCCTACTGCTGGATGCCCAACTGGCGCGCCACAAGCCGAATCGGCAGTGAGAGTCACTTGCGCTTTTTATGTGCTGTGCTTTCTCCAAGGTTTTTAACGGCCGTCACAAACGCCTCGTGTATTTTTGATAAGGGGTTGGGGAGTTAAGGGGGAGGGCGGGAAAAGGAGATAGGGGGGAGAGCAGATAGGGGAGAAATGCCTTCCGTGCGATGTGGGGTAAGCGACTGGCTAGGCCTTTTCTTGTCTAACTTTCGAACTGCGTTGTTTTGCACTCTTTGCCTCGGATCGGAGACTCTCCCGCTTTGAGCTTCTGAGGAGGGGCTGGCTGGCTTGCTGGCTGGCTGGCTGGCTTGCTGGCTTGCTGGCTGGTGCTTCTTGAGGTTTTCTTGACTTGTTCTGCGCGTGTAAGAAGGCCCTTCAAGTGTATTTTGGAAGAGGCGCCTCCTTTCCGATGCACGCGCTCAGGTACGTGTGGATTGGGGATACTGGCGAGATGGATCGCGAAGCTGGCGAGTTGATGGCTGCCCGTCTGCCTTCGCAACTCAAAGCCGTTTTCCTGCATTTCGTGGGGGCATCTAGCAGACACCAGAAGCCACCGGAAGATTATGTGCTTCACGGCGTGCCCTTCGTCTTCTTCAGGTTTGTGCGCGAGAAAAGGCCGAAAAGCTGAGAGCTACTTCAGCCGCTCGAAAACAATGGGGGGTTAGCACACAGGAACAGGGAGAGAGAGAGAGAGAGGGTTGTGGGTGTAGTGGAAGATGGAAAGAGAAACAGAGAGAGAGAGGCAGAGAGAGAAAAAAGAGAGACATACAGGCAGAGAGAGAGGCAGAGAGAGAAAAAAGAGAGACATACAGGCAGAGAGAGAGGCAGAGAGAGAAAAAAGAGAGACATACAGGCAGAGAGAGAAAAAAGAGAGACACACAGGCAGAGAGAGAGGCAGAGAGAGAAAAAAGAGAGACATACAGGCAGAGAGAGAGGCAGAGAGAGAAAAAAGAGACATACAGGCAGAGAGAGAGGCAGAGAGAGAAAAAGAGAGACATACAGGCAGAAAGAGAGGCAGAGAGAGAAAAAAGAGAGACATACAGGCAGACAGACAGAGAGAAAGAGAAAAAGAGAGAGAGACAAGCAGAGAGAAAAAGGTCAGGATGGGCGGAGAGAGAGAGACAGATCTTGGGGGGGGGGGGGGTATTTGTATGTTTTTTTGTGTGGGATTTTATTCTTGTGTGTAAACATGTCCTTCCGCTTTCAATGAGTAAAATCATTCAATGCACACCCCAGCCCAGAGTACTCTATGCTCACTTGCGCTTGTTTTCAGAACCTTTGTGAAGGCTGCGCGGAGAGCGTTTGATTTGGGGTTGATGGGCAAGAAGGAACTGGCGAGGGTGGTTGTGCAGGTTTGTTTCGCGCAGTTTGCCTTCCCTGCTGCCTACCTATATATTTCCCCTCCTTCCGACGTATCTCCACATCGCGCTCTTCGTGTGCCGTGTGGCCGCTCCTTGCGATCTGAAGTGTGCCTCGCGGATGATGATTTGTTGAAGGAGCAGAACCAAGACTTTCTCTGCATCTGACTGGCCGTCTGTCCGCCTCTTCACCCTTGTGCCTTGCGGTGTATATGTCAAAAACAGCCTGCCCGTAGCGGAGGATGTCGACGTCTCTTCTTCATCACTTGAGCGCAGCAGCCCCCGTCTATGTCTCTTCATCGTTCCCGATCTCCTGCAATCTGTGTCTGGGAATACGTGGCCTACATTTATGTCCATGTACATATGTATATGTATACATATGTATGTAGTGCATGCATGCGTAGCTGTGCATGCATGTCAGGAAAACGCCGTAACAACAGCATGCCCCTACCCTATCATCTGTGATGGTGGTATCTTTCTCCTTTGTGTCTCTCCTAGGCAGTGCACGAGCTGGAGGAGCTGCGAGCACCCTCCATTTCCACCAAGTGGAGGGACCTTATCTTCGATATACGGGTATGTCGGGAAAGCTTTCGCAAAGACAGACAAAGACAGAACGTTCGCTCGCTATGGGGAGGTCGTCTGCCTTCACCTCTGGCTTCCTGTCGACGAGAGCCGAGGGTTTTTTTTTCTGTGTTTGCATGCGCACGCGGTGGCTGAGCACAGTCTGCATTTTTGTGGATTGGTGCTTGGGGAGGTGTCTTAGTCGACGCCATCTTTCGCGTGTATCCGCAGTGTCTCAGTGCACAGGTAGGCCCTCAAAAACGTCCGTGCGCATGAACTACCACGTTTGTTTCTCGCGCATTCTGAGATTTTTCCGGGCTTCTTTTTCTTGCTTTCCGCACCGTCGGCTTTGCGCAGGATGCGGAGCAGGTGCTGCCCCTCAAGTCTGCCACCAGCGCTCCCCTCGTCAGAACGCGTGAAATCCTCGGGAAGAAGGTTGCAGATATAAAGGCGGCCATAGCAGAGCTCAAGCGGCACAGTGCTACACCTGCAGTCCGACCTGCTACAGAGGGCACGGCACAGACGGCTGCAACCAATTCCAGTGCAGCGAGAGCAGGAACGGTGGAGGCGGAGGCGCCTCCAGGAAACACCCCACAGCCAGAACAAAAGCTGCAGCAGCAGCAAAAACAACAGCAGCAGCAGAAACAGCAGCAGCAGCGGATGGTCGTGGCTCCTCCCGTAGGCTCCCCCGTGTCCTCGACGGGCGCTTCTTCTTTCATAGAGCAGCAGCAGCAGAAACAAGAACAGCAGCAGCAGCAGAAACAACATCAGCAGCAGCAGAAACAACATCAGCAGCAGCAGAAACAACAGCAGCAGCAGCAGAAACAACAACAGCAGCAGCAGAAACAACATCAGCAGCAGCAGCAGTCTGATTTTCTGAGGCCCCCTTCGGCAGCAAGACGCAGCACGCAGTCTCAGGGGTTCTCAGGGGTGTGCGCAGTTGGAGTCGCTGTCGATGTCTCGGCACCGCGTGGCGATTCAGAAGACGATGAGGGCACTTTTCCCTGGCCTGTGCAGCAGCAGCTCACAGCAGCGGCGGGGAGGCGGCAGACGGGAGCAGACGCACAGGGAGTGGAGCTGCTAGATTTGACCCCCCTGCACAGCAGCCACCCTGAAAGCAGCGAAAGGAGGAGCAGCAGCAGCAGCGCGGACTGCAAGACCGCAGCAGCGGCGGAGCAGCAGCAGCAGAAACAACAACAGCAGCCTTTCCGCGAGGAAGAGAACCTGCTACACTGGGGAGACACAAGCCCGTCAGAAGGGGGGAGCCACCAAGCTGCCTTTACAGCCGAAGACAACGCTGCATCGCCGGCAAGTGCAAGCGAGGACGCTGACGCAACGGCAGCAGGCACAGCAGCGCACGACGCAGGAAAGCGTCCCTACAGCCCGTGGGAACTTCTAGCGGCCACCAGTCACCAATCGGCTGACGCTACAGACAAGCGCAGCAGCTCGGACTGTTGTGCAGACACTCAGGGTGGGGGCGTTTCGTGCTCTGTAGGTCCCCAGTTGCAGAAAAACGCAATTCAGGGAGTTGCCAGGAACGTCAGTGTAAACCCCCCCGACCTTCTTACTGGGGACGACTGAGGGGTCCTGTAGGATCTGCCCCCCTCCCCCCGTTGCCGATTCTTTAGTCCCCCTCCCCCATGTTTAGTAGCGTTGCAGGGTACTGCACTTTTGACTGGCTGTGCAGCAGCAAGCCTCCTCTAATGCGCTCGCTGAACTCTACCTGCCCGCGCCGTACGATAGCTAGGTCGGTAGCGCGAAAGCTGAGGAGGGGAAAACTCCATACTCCCCAGCTCCCCCCACCAGCCCACAGGCGTTTAGGATGGACAGACGCACATATTTTGAATAGCGTCATGCCACCCTACGAAATTTGCCAGTGGACAAAGGGAAGGGAAACTACGTTGCTCGCCAAATTTGTGCCGCTCTACCGTAGACGGCTAGGTAGCAAACTGACAAGGCAGCGAACACCCAGAGTTCGACGGCAGCTCTTCGCTTGCACCTCAGCAAGGCCACCTCACTATCGAATGGGCAGCTAGATAGCAAACACCGCTTACTGCCTGCCTATGTGGGGGTAAATGACCTAGTGAGTAGCTGGCAGGCTCTAGGCAGACAGCAGCACGCTGGGAAGCAGCTGAACAGCTGGCTTGCTAGCCATCAACTGGGGGCCTACTGGCGGCGCTGACAGCCGATAGCTAGGTCTGGCTAGCTGCGCCCAGAAGCGGCTGGCTCTGCCTCACCCAGCCTTGCGACCTCCTCAATGAGGCTAGCAACCTGCAGCAGCAGGCACAGCGTCACATCCGCATGCGAGGAGCAGTCCCCTGAGAGCGCAAAGGGCATGGGGGAGAGGTTGGCACCATAGACAGCCGGCTGACCTCTTCTTCCAGACGCTTGACTGTCGCCTCGAGCTGCGTGATGCGTTTGGAGTTCTTGCTGCCGCTTTTGCCTGTTTCCGCAGATGATGATGATGCAGCAGCACCAGCTGCTGCTGACTTGCGCCGTTTGCACTTCGCTGCCTTTGCTGGTCGCAGCTGTTTCCCCGAAGGCGCTTCTGCAGCAACAGCAGCAGTAGCAGCAGCACAAGCAGCAGCAGCAGGACTAAGACCACCCCCACTCCCATCGGCTTCATCTTCGGCTGTTGCTGCAGCAGGGGGTGTCTGTTCATCAGCGTATCCATGACTGCTGCTGCTGTTATCGGCGTGTTGTCTCGCATGGCGCCTCCCAGAAAAGGCATCCTCGGCAAAAGCAACTTCTCCGTCTGTCCTGCTAATGCCCTCCGTGGCATTCGCGGGTGTGCTCGTTGGACTTGGATTGGGTTGCTTCATCGCGTCGCTCTGCATAGCCGCTGTGAGCTGCGTGAGAAAGAGCAGCTCCTCGGAGAGCGCCTTATTCTCCTTCTCCAAACTCGAGATCGAGGCAAAGAGGTCCTGCCGCCTGCATGCCAAGTCCGCTAGTTCCACCTGCAGAGACACCCGGAAACTCCTTCGCTGACATACACCACGGGCACGGACAGATAAAGACGCAGCGTTTTGACGGACAGATTGTCAGGCGTGCAGCTTCTCCTGGAGCAAACTCGCTGTGCCTTCTTTTTTTCGCCTCTGTGCTGCCTCTCGGACTGCCGTTCGGCGTTGATGACAGCCAGCGGAGGGGCCCCTCTAGCCGCAAGGGAGACGCGAGGAGACGCGAGCAGAGCAGGAGACGAGAGCAAAACAAGAATGCATCTAAATAGCCATCCCCGCGAGGGAAGCCGTAAAGGGCGAACGGACAGGGGTGTGCAGCTATGGAGCCGAAAAAGAGAAGGGCCCCTTGGAGAAAGTAAATTACCTGAATATGCAGAGCTCGATCCTCCAGACTGCTCATTTGTGCATTCTTCAGCTCCAACTCCCCCAACAGGGAGCTCGCCAACACGTGCAGACGAACCTGCGACGCCCATACGTCGGCACTGACGCGCGTTGAAAATGCGGGGAGACGGCGAGGGAGGGGCACGTGGGAAGGAAGGGCATAATGGAGGGGGAAAACGGAGGGGAAAATTTTTGTATTGGACAGACAGCGCTTGGTAGGAGGCAGCCTTCCCCGAGAGACACCCCAGGCATGCGCCGCATAGGGAGGAGTAGACGGGAAGGGTGGGAGGAGAGGGGCAAGACAACAAGATAAGACAAGACAAGGCAAGGCGAAAGGGGACAGAGGGAAGCGCCGATACGGACCTCGTAGATTTCGCGCTGATACTCCAGCTGAGATGAGAGAATGAGGCTCAGCTGTTGCTCCTGCACGCCGTCCTGAGCATCCGTAGGAAGCTGCGCATGTGCTCCAGCAAGACATCCGTCTGCGAGGCTTTCCCCGCATCCCTCAAGGCTATGGGGTGCGAAATCGAACGGCGAAATATCCTGCCCCCCCCACGAGGCATCTTCGGCACAAGCTGCCTTGCCCGAAGAGGCTCCAAGGTGGCATTGCAGCTGCTGCTGCTGCCACTGCTGCTGCAGCAGCTGCTGCTGCTGCTGCTGCCCCTCTTCTTCCTCTTCCGCGCCGTCCGCTAATCCTGCGGCAGCATCGCGCGCTCTGCTGGAGGCCCCTCCACAGGCTTCGTTGCCTCCCGAGGGGCCCCCCTCCCCCGCTGCCTCACCGTTCTCAGTCGCTGCAGATGCCTTGGAGTCGGCGAAGCATTCCGCAGCAGCAGCTGCTGCTGCGAGGGGGCCCCCCCCGTGCCGCGCAGGCGTCGTCTCAGTAGCCACACAGCGCAGTCTCTCCAAGCCCATACGCAGTTCGAAGCTGGAAGTCTCCTGGGGGTGTCGACGTGTTCCGCCTGGGAGTGTCGCTCCGTGTGGAGAAGTAAGGGAAGTCGTCGAGGGGGCCCCTCCGTGCTGGGGGCCCCCTGCGCCTCCCCCGCTGCCCACGACGCGAATCCAGGGGGGCCCCTCCAGGACGGAAGCGGGCAGGGGCAGAGGAAGCGGCGCGGTGAGATGCGAGTGGACGAAACAGTCTCCCGCATAATCCCACACTCTGCCGGAAGAGAGGTCGAAGCAGAACGAGTGGTGTTGCGAGGTCGAGTGCCTCTTCGCATGGCCTCCTTTGTAACGACCGCAGCCTGCGGGAAGGCGGCACAGGGGCGGAGCAGCGGCAAATCGCTGAAGCACGACAAGGCTGGCTTGCAGGGAGCAGGAGCGGAGGAGAGAGGGAGGAGTCTATCGGACTGCCGTTGCTGCAGTTCTGCCCACTGGCAGAGCATCGGGAGCGCGATGGGAAGAAGATTCTGCACCAGACCCCTACGGGTGTTGGTCTCGATGGCGCCTAAGCCATGCACTGAACTCGCTGCCACACAGAAAAAGGCGAACGCAAAGCCGCCGTCGGAACCTACACTACTCTGCAGAATTTGATTCCAAAATACTTACCGCAATGCGCGCAGACGAGGCACAACCAGAGCGACTTGGCATCCCCACAGGTGAAACACTCAAGGCCGTTGCTGCTGAGGTTGCTATTGCTGCTGCTGCTAAAGTTGCTGGTGCTGTTGCTGTGAAGGTTGCCATTGCCGCTGCTGTTTGTGTTGCTGTCGCTGTTGCTGTTGCTGTTCATGTCGCTCTTAATGGTGCTGTCGCCATTGCTGTTAATGTCGCTGTTGCTCTTGCCGCTAGTGTTTCTGGAGCTGCTATTAGTGCTGCTGCTATTAGTGCTGCTGCTATTAGTGCTGCTGCTATTAGTGCTGCTGCTATTAGTGCTGCTGCTATTAGTGCTGCTGCTATTAGTGCTGCTGCTATTAGTGCTGCTGCTATTTTCTCTGGAAAGTCTATAAGTCCCCAAGAAGGCCTCGCTGGAAGCCAAGCAAAGGCACCCAGCGCTGCTGCGAGTCGCGCTGTTGCTGCAGATACTGCTGCTCTTGCTGCTGCAGATACTGCTGCTCTTGCTGCTGCAGATACTGCTGCTCTTGCTGCTGCAGATACTGCTGCTCTTGCTGCTGGAGCCGCTCGAAGGGCTTGCGCTGCGGCCTCTCCTGCTGTCGCTGCAACGTCGATTGGCGAAGCGGGCAAAAAGACTTTCGCAGCGAGTCCAGCCCAAACTGCTGCTGCTGCCAGCCGCGCTGGAAAGTCTGTCGGGAAGAGAAACATGAGGCTCTCCAAAGGACGTGTTACTGGGAGCCACCGACATTTCTGCTGCTGACGGGGGGGGGAGCAGCGCGTCCGAAGACGGCTGCTGCTGCGGCTGTTTCGCTTGCTTCAGCTGGCGTTGAGAGACTCTTTTCAGCAGCATCCAGTGTAGGACGCCAGCGCATGCAGCGCAGTGCGAGAGTGCAGCAGCAGCCGCAGCACGCAGGGCTGCAGCGGCGGAAGTTCCTTCTTCAGGCATCTCCGGTGGGGTCGGTGTAAACGCTGCAGCGTCTCTGGAAGCGGCACGAACGGCGGCGGCAGAGCCCAGCCAAGAGAAGGGCAGGGTGTATAAGCCAGAGGCAGACGCGTCAGCTCGAGAGAGACACACGGGGCACCCAGGGAGCTGCCACATCGCCTGACGGCACATTTCAGCGCAGAAAAGGCCTTCCTGCTTGGGAATCCAGAAGAATACCAGAGCGACAGTTCAAAAATAAGATACGGCAAGAACAAAGATACACTTATCGACAAAGAAGTGTACAGCAGCTGTGTGTAGGTGGGCTGGTATGTATGTATATATGTATGTGTATGTATGCATGTGTGTATGTGTATATGTATGTATGTATGTGTATGTTTATATGTGTGTATGTAGGTGTATGTATGTGTGTATGTGAATATGTGTGTATGTAGTATGTATGTGAATATGTGTATGTATGTATGTGAATATGTGTATGTATGTGTACATGTGTGTAGGTATGTGTACATGTGTGTAGGTAGGTATGTGTACATGTGTGTAGGTATGTATGTGTGTGTATGTATGTGTGTGTATGGATGTGTATATGAGGGTATGTATTATGTATGTATGTATGTGTGGGCGACAAGACAAGGCTAAAATAGAAAGTAAGGCGGCGTAGACACCGCAAGAGAAGGGCAGGCTCGGGCTGTCTATAGCTTGACTGAAGTAAATGGCCCCCCATATACGGCTGAGTGTACTGCGGATAGGAACGATTGGGTTTGCACCGCATGTATATATATATATATAGATATAATATATATTCACAAATAGACGTAATATATATCCATAGAATAAACGTAAATAGATATATCTACATATATATCTACATATGCTTATATGTACATATATATCTACGTATATTTATATGTACATATATATCTACGTATATATCTACGTATATGTATATATGCATATATCTACATATTGACCTCAGAGGCCGTTCTCCGAAAAAGCCCCTTTGGGGTCATAGGGGGGGAAAGTGGGGTCGCTGCACCGGAGATGGGTGTCACCACCCCTCCGACGGAGACGACGATGGCGGATAGCTGCAAGGTGTACAGTGCCCATGCTTCCCAAAGAGAGCATTTGTGGCCTAAGAGCTCGCCTAGCCGACTTCCTTTCTGCAGTGGGTAACAGAGATGCTGACGTGCTTCCACGCTTCCTGCAGTGTTTGTTGCTGCTGCTCCCGGTACGAGAGAATGGGGCCCCACTCCGGAAGCTCGCTGCACAAAGCGCCTTCCTACTGCTTGCGAGCTCCATCTGCAGAGCACGGCGTAGAGCGGCCTCCCGCCTACGCCCTCCTTCAGCCTCTGCTGCTGCTGCTCCTGCTGGTGCTGCTGCTCAATGGGGGACGGGAGAAGGTACAGAGCGGTGAGGTCGTTAAGGAGATCCCCGCACAGGTGACGCAGCAAAGAGCCCACACGGAAAGCGGCACACTCCGGCAAAGCTACCACCAGCGTCCAAAGGGCCTCCTCTAGGGGCCCCCCGGCCAGGTTGCCCCCTGAAGGTGTTCCTGCGACCCCACCGGCGGGGGGCCCCCCAGGGGCCCCCCCCGCATTGTGGAGATCGCCTGCACTGCGGGGCCCCTCCCCAGCGGCGCTGGCGGAAACTGAAGGGAAAACTCCTTCCCGCTCGCTGGTGCTGCTGCTGTCTTGCGAGCCGCTGCTAGGGGTACTGCTGCTCGCCCGTGGAAGTCCATCCGCATGCAGAGCGGCTCCGCAGAGAGGCCTCTCTGTTTGAGCGCTCCTGAGCTGGAAAAGACGGCCCCTCGCACCACTCAACAAGCTCACACGTACCACCTTGCTCGTGTCGCTGAAGCAGCTGCGCAGAATTCCTGGTGTCTGGGGAGGCGGCAGCGGCTCCTGCCGAGACGCTGGAGCGAAGAGCGCCTTGGCCTCCTGGGAAGCTGCGGCAGGTATCGCGACTGCTTCAGTGGGTGCCTTCGTCTGTAGCAACACGTCCAAGGCTCCCGAGAGGGTTCTTAGGGGAGGGAGATCGAGGTGCAGCACAAAGCGGGGAGTTCCTGCGCCTCCATGGTCCAGTGCCGAGACGCCCTCCGGCATTCCTCGTTGTGCATGCAGTTTCGCTGAGTGCCTGTATGCTTTTGTTATACTGCACTGCGAGGCAGGTGGGGCCCCTGAGATCTGCGGCAACGTCACAGCCAACGCTCCAGCGGAGAAACAGCCAAACGGGGAGCTGTGTGAGCGGCAAGGCGAGTGTGCTGGGACGGAGAGGCCCTTCAAGAAGCAACAAGAGGATCAGCAGCGCCAATGCTCCCAGGAGCCGCAGCTGCAGCTCCTGAGGGGGCGGAGGCACAGCCTCCGCGGAGGAAGCTACAAATTCAAACCACGGAGTTCCGCGGCAGTGTCCAGACACCCTAAATTAGGCATTAAAGTGGTGTTATGCCCCTTTTGTGGCCGCACCGGTGCTCTGACACACTGCCGCCGACGCCGATGCAGTGGCACACGCGGGGGGCCCCCTACCTGGGGGCCCCCCTCCGGGCGCCTGCGAAGAATCCCTGCTCTCCCATCCCGCGCATCCTTCCGCGGCGCGCATGCAGTTTGTTTTTTTCGGCGCTTGCTATTTTTCCAGGAGTCTGTGGGGGCCTGCTCCTTCTGAGGGGCCCCCTGAGCCGATCTCAGCGGGTCGGGGGCCCCCAAACACCAATGGCTTCGGCGGCACGATGCCGAAGATCTCCTTCTTCCAGCCGCCCCTACGCAGCTGCTTGCTTCGGAAGGCCTTGCCGCTCTCTGCCTGGGAGTTGCTGCTCCAGCCCAGCAGGCGGGGGGAGTCAGCCTCCCTTGGAGAGTGGCGCCCTTACCACCAGAATCCTCTGGAAAGCCTCCGATTAGGGCCTTCCCGGCACTCTATTCGCCTCTGCGGAGGCTTAGCAGTGTCTTCAGCTCGCAGCGTTTCCCAACGCTCCCTCCGAAACGCTACAGTCGGCCTTAGCCAACTCGCTGGCAGTCTCCCCCTCCCACCGGCGCAGTTCCGTGGGACCCTCCTAGTAGTAGAGACGCCTCAAGCTGCTCTAGAAGCGTGCGAGGCACTGCTGGAAGCCTGCATACGAGCTAGCAGCGAGGACTCCACTACCCCTGCTGCCACCATCACCACCACTGCCGCCACCCCCACCAGCAGCATCACCAGTAGGGATGATGCGGAGCCTCAGCTCGTCTTGGGGTTCGATACGGAACACGATCCCACCCCTCGTAGGGCACCCCAGGTGCCTCTTCGCGTACTGCAGTTGGGGGCCCCAGGAGTGGCTGCTGTATTTCTGCTACGGCCCCTAGGAGGCCTCCCTCACTGTGTCGCTGCCATCTTAAGGGACAGCACCATACTAAAGGCCACCCAAGGGGCTTCTCTGGAAGCCCTACTGCTTCAGAATGAATTCGGAGTCTCTGCCCAGAGGCTTTTCTGTCTTCACCAGGCGTCCACTCTCCTCTCTCGCTCTCGCTCAGCAGCCAGGGGCCCCTCTGCAATTTTAGGGGCGCTGGGAGGCCCGCGAAACTCTTGGGGCCCTGGGATACCCTCTTTGGGAGCTCACGGAGGCCCCCGGGGCCTGTCACTCAGAGAGCTGTGTGCCATATACTTGCGGGAATCACTAGATAAGGCGCAGCAACAAAGCGATTGGGGAGGAGCTCTGAGTGAGCAGCAGCTGCTGTATGCTGCAACCGATGCTGATGTGAGTCGGAGGATATACTTGGCAATGAAGGCTAGCTTGGGGCATGAGAGGATGGAAGCCCTAAAGACACTCATGGGGCCCCCTCATAATGGGGTCATGAACTCCACGGAAGGCCCTCCCATTGCAACCCTTACACGGGCATCCAGAAAAAAAGCGAGCCTCACGTAGAAGCACACACTCTCTTGCTTCATTTAGGATTCATGAACTTGGAGGCTTGCATCCACCCCCTCCTCCCCCCCCCCACACCCCTCCTCTCCGCTCACCCTAACCCACGCAACCCGGTCGTCACCCCCCCAGCCCGGCCGCGTCCCCTGCCCCACCCCCGCCGCCGCCTCCCCCCCCCCGAACCACCATACCCCCCCCC